ATACTATCCCTCACTCCCTCTGCCACATTACCTCCCCAAAGCAGTTTAGCAGGAAAGGGCTTGTTCACAGGGTTTCCAACTTATAGAAAGATATTAGCAGCGTTTCACAACTGCCTATGAGTTAACATGAACTAGACCCTTTACTAAATAATACTGATCTGTAAAGAGATTTAGCAACTGAAGGGGGAGGGAAACCCTACCTCTTGCTTGCTATTGCTGCACGAAGAAGTGGTTAGGATCGGCTTCACTTCCCATGAAAAAGGGTGGTGGGGGAAGGGTGCTTAGGAAGTTTGAAAAATGTGTTGCAATATTAAAACAGAAAACAACACTCCAAACCTCCTGTGGTTGATGAAGCTAGGGGAGCACACTGCTAGCCTCCTAGCACAACACGAAAAAGTTAGGGGATGAGAAATGAAGACAATATTCTTGAACTGAGTTTTAGAAGCAGAAAAAAGAGACTCAAGATGCTGGGTCCAGCTACTTGACTAACTATAAGCTGGTAAGAAACAGCCTCTGACAACACTGTCATTAACCTCTGCGCTAAAGGTGGATATCATGATAGTGTTAAAACAGCATCTTGCAAAGCTTCCACCTACTAGTTTGTGCCTCTCAAAGGAAAAGGAGAAGTCATTCACAGAAAGATTAAGTAAAGATTAATTAGCAGAGCTTAAGCCATTCACAAGAGGAGGTTAAGGAACACATGCAAATTTCAGCAGAGGATGAGACAAACACTGAAACAACTCAATACAGAAGGCTCACAGAAAATAAAATTCAACCTCAGAATAAAGTTTTCGTAATTAAAGTCCTTTATTTCTTCATTGTTTCCTTAATACAAAGCTTTGGCATCAGCAAATTTTAGGAAAAATAAAATATACTAAATATAACTGCTTGTGCTGTATGGATCAATACATGATGCATAAAAAGGTGGGTCTTTCCAAGGCAACCGGTCCAAAAGCATTTCTTCAATACCATTCTGCTCTGTGGGGTGAAAAAAGGAAATATTAGTATTAATTACAATACTGCTCACAGTTGCATAAGTCTAGTAAAAAAATATCAATGAGGAGCAATTACATGCAGCTACAGAAAATTGTGCAAGGGGTTTGTGCACTGCATACATCACTGGTCACGTCATAATGAAAATGCATCAGTTATCAGAATGCCTTAGGGCAACACTGCCAGCGGTTTGAGAGTTGGCTACGAGACTGTTGTGGAATATCCACCTGACACCAAAACGTTGCTGCTAAGGAAGACTGACCAATATTTGGAGGCTTTGGATTCTGGAATGTGGTCATGCAGTTACTTTTGGGAGGTCAGTCTAGAGTCACTTCTGAATGCAGAACAAACTGTTCTCATTTCTTGCCTTCCATGAACCCATTATCTAAGAACTGAGAGGAAAAGTAGCTGTCAAGTCAAGCTAGTTCCTGGAACATTATAAATTAAGACCAAAGGGAAGCAGTCTTTTAAACAGCGTCTCTTACAGTCATTCCCTTCTAAGCAACTTTATAGTAGAGATGAATAGTGTGAAAACAGTAGGTATTTTATCTTTTGCATATGCACATGAACACAGAAGGTGTGCCCTAAATCAGATGAGTTTAAAACTGCAGGAAAGTGGGAGAGGGAAGCAGCAGGGAACGTCACTTGGAGGGTACTGCTGACTGAGCTCCCTCAGACTATGTCCCATCTTCTACTCATTTCACTCCTTCCTGCTAGTTTCATCTTGGAAGATGAAAGAGGACCCTCATCTTCACGCTGAATTACTGGTGTATCTGCTAAATGGTGCAATGTTAGCCCCAGTTGTTATATGGAGAACAACACAAGAAGCTTTGTTGCTTTTTCCTCTCTCGCATCTATAACAACCTGGCATTTCCTGCAAATCTTAGGAGTCAAGTAGTATGTGGCACACTGATCAGCAGAGGAGCCTTCTTGCTTGATGTGTAGCATATTAGGTAGCACTTAAGCAATTAACCTCGAACCTCTCACGCACAAGGGACAGACTAGAACAGGGTTGCCTAACCTCACAGCAGAGTTGGAAGCTGCTTAGATTATTGGGATCTGACTGGAGAGCCACTTGGGAGGTGGCTGCAGGTGGGGATTCAAGTCACAAGATGGGAGAAAGTGGTGAAATTTTGCCACTCTTCTGTACTTTCCCCATTTTCCATTATTGCTTCTGTATTGGAGAAAGATTGCTCAGCTCATAAGCAGCTGGTACAAATGCTAGGGAGCTTACCATCTCTCCCCTTTGATCTTGCATACAAACAATTTTAGTGAGGAGCCACTTTCAGGCAACCCAGCCAGACATACCTTACCACGAATGTGCACGGGTAGTAATCCATTGAAAAATTTTAATAGAGAGACTTATACCCGACAAGAGAGAGAAGGCACTCCCTCCTTCCCCTCCTGCCATTTCTTCCCAGCATTGCCTGTGATGCATGCACCAAAACCAAGTATACACACGTATTTTAACATGTACTTACTCATTAGCATTCAAGCTAGCTGTGGCTTTGATGATCATGTAGCAGAGTGTGAGGGCGCTGAGGAGGCCAAAACTGGCAATAATAAACCATTCTTCTGTTGACAAAGGAAAGGGAGGAAATCACTCGTGGGAGAAGGCTTATGTCAAAGCGATGTCAACATATCCCTCAAACACTGGCAGAAGGCAACAGGGTTTTAAGCCATGACTGGCACCGGGAAGTGAAGCAGAAGGAGGTTAGCCATAGAGTTACTGACTGGAGAAGGCTAGCAAAGAAGAAGTGGAGAGAGGTGTGGAAAAAAAGCATGGCACAACAACGTCTCCTGGCTCAGCCCAAGGGTTAGCGAGAAAGAAAGATCACTTAATGACAAGTGAAATGCAAAAGAAGGGAGAATGTAAATGAAGACTCCTACCTCTCCTACATTAGTTAACACTGCTGAGGCTGGCTTTCCTTAGCTCAGACCGTGTCTCTTCAAAAAATATTTGCATGCACACTCACAGAATTCAGCACATTCCTTTTTTCTCCAAAGCAAATGCTTTTGTTCTATTTTAAAACAAAAAATCAGGGCCACCCACCCAGTGTTTAAGCATAACTCTAACAAATTTTCTCCAACATGGAAGGAAGGGCTGTTTGAAAAGGAGAGAGACTTCAACTTTAACAGAATACAAATAGTACATACAGATACTTTAAAGAGGAAAACCTTGACGGTAATATTAAAAACAGTGGATAACAAACAAAGGCATTATTAGTTGTGATACTCTCCCTTTCTGACAACTTCTACAGATGCTAATAGATTTTGTTGCAGATCTGCGTTGCTGAATACAGATTTTAGGTTCAATGTGAATGTATCAATTAAGGCACACAATGCACAAGGCTAAATGCCTGTACAGCTTGTTTTAATTTAATTTATATCCATCAGGGTGAATTGCTGCTTATTTTTCCTCAGTTCTTTACTATGGCAACACAGCTGAATGCAGGTAGCTACAGCTGAGAGCAGACAGTTAACACACCTACAGTCAAGGAAATTGAGCAGTTAAACTATTCGACTTTGTTGTGGGTAGGCAAGCTTTGAACACTACACAAACGCAGACCAGGATTAATTTGTCTTCAAGAGAGATTTGAGTAAGGGATGCACTAGTAGTTGACAGATGCCAGACAGATGCCAGACGAAGACTTGTTGATTTTGCAAATGAACTCAGTTTGAAGTTTCGATTTGCTCACGAGACCAACACATTTCTGGAACTGATTACACTCGTCAAGACAAGAATAATTTTCTATGGCAAACTTCCTTTGCTGTAGCATCTGAAGAAACGCTCCAGAAAGGACAAGACTAAAAATACCATCTTAGAGAGCTAAGAATACCAAGCAGTGTCTCTGACTTTGCGAGGCTGGATGAGTAGTTAGGCAAAATTGTCTCCTTACTTTAAACTGTCTTGAACCATGGAATCTATTTTTTTTTTTTAAACAGTGAAAGTGGAACCCCCCCCCAGCTATCTGTGCATCAAATCACTGCTCTATAGCATTTAGAAAATTATGCAATTCCATGCATACTGTGCAGTATTCACAGAGGCCTATTTATACATCAGAAGCCCAAGGTGGAATCTGCTCCGTGGAATTTTCTCCAGTTGCTCCTTTAAAAAGAGGAGCCTGTGAACAATTTGGTCAAGCAGTTCAGCAGTGGTCTTCTGATGCCATGAAATTCCTAGATTATGCAAGGTTCAGAAGCCTCAACATCAAATGCAACAAATTACAAATTAAAAGGGCAAGCATAACAAATGTTAGGGTTAGCCTTTCAGATCTCTGTTGCCAGCAAAAGAACTTTCAAATGCGACACAGAAATTGCGAAAGGGTTTATCTGTAACAATGCTAATTTAGAACCAGCTAACCAGTTAAGCATCTGCACAATATTTTTTTAATAATAGTAAAACAGTAGAGGCAACCAAAACTTCCCAAACTAACTGTCAAATTCAGTTTGTATTGAACCCTGCTGTATGTTTGTTCCATGATATATGAAGAATGTACATATTAATAATAAGCATTTGCAATGTAGCACCCGATTTAATTAGTTTCATTAAAAAGCGTGTACTTTATTGTACAAACAGAGTGATCACTTTCATCTCTGTAAGGCAGTGGTTCTCAATCTTGTTAAAGTTAAGGCCCCACCTCTGAAAATGCCAGCTTTTAGTTTTCACTCATTTTTTGACTATGCAAAAAAGAGAGCAGTTTTTCTGTTGCAAAGAACTCAGAAAGACCGTAACGGTTCAGAATGTTTTTAGCACTCTGGATTCCTATTTGAAATCCTTGGGTTTATATTGTGAATCATGTTTGTACACCTAACAGTGCTAATGTTGTGTGGCACCCTCGAAAGGATGTCACGGCACCCCAGGATTCCCTGGCACCCTGATTGAGAAT